TCACAGTGCCCTCTGCCCCGGGGGCAGGCAGCCAGCGTCTGCACCCATGGCCCCATCCTGTAGGGGAAACCGAGCCAGGCGGGGGTGATGACCAGGCCCCAGCGGCATCCCCTGGGAAGCTGGGGCCCCTTGCGCGGGGCGACAGCTGACCAGTCCTCTGCCCCCCGCAGACATGTCCTTCCGAAAGGTGGTTCGGCAGAGCAAATTCCGGCATGTGTTCGGGCAGCCGGTCAAGAATGACCAGTGTTATGAAGACATCCGAGTGTCCCGCGTCACCTGGGACAGCACCTTCTGCGCCGTCAACCCCAAGTTCCTGGCGGTGATTGTGGAGGCCAGCGGCGGGGGCGCCTTCCTGGTGCTCCCCCTAAGCAAGGTGGGGCCCCTGAGGGCTGCGGGAAGGGCTGGAGGTGGCTTGGCCCCTCCTCCCAGACCCATGTCCACATCCCATATCTCGCCCATCCCCGTGCTGCCGGGAAGGTGTCATAATCCACATTTTTCCCAGAAGGAGAAAGTCTTTTATGGCTCCTGAGTCAGGGTCAGAGGCAACCATTTCCTGCTCACCTGGTGGTGCCCGCGAGGCAGCGGTGGGCCAGGCCTGTTGCATCCTTCCTGCTCCCTGGAGGGGAAGACTGGGGCTCTGGGCGGATGGAGCTTGGGAGCCCCTTTCCCTCCCTGACGGTCCGGTCCTCTCCTCTCATGCCCGCAGACGGGCCGCATTGACAAGGCCTACCCGACCGTGTGTGGGCACACGGGACCTGTCCTGGACATCGACTGGTGTCCCCACAACGACGAAGTCATTGCCAGCGGCTCCGAGGACTGCACGGTCATGGTGAGGTGTGGGGCTGTGGTGGGCCCAGGGTCGCGGGGGTGGTTCGAGGCTGCTGGCAGCATGGCCAAGCACAGGCCGTAACTGGCAGCCTCACCCCTCCCACAGGTGTGGCAGATCCCAGAGAACGGGCTGGTCTCGCCGCTGACAGAGCCGGTGGTGGTGCTGGAGGGGCACACCAAGCGTGTGGGCATCGTTACCTGGCACCCGACGGCCCGCAACGTGCTGCTCAGCGCAGGTCCGCACCGCCCCACCCCGCCCTCGCCCACCTCCTCCTGCACCGCTCGAACCTCCCACACCTCCTCCCAGGCCCATTGAGGGATGAGAAAGCGGAGGCCCCCCCGTGGGGTGCTCCAAGCGGGCCTGGGAGGCTGACGTCCCCCCACCTGGCAGGCTGTGACAATGTGGTGCTCATCTGGAACGTGGGCACGGCGGAGGAGCTGTACCGCCTGGACAGCCTGCACCCCGACCTCATCTACAACGTCAGCTGGAACCACAACGGCAGCCTCTTCTGCTCCGCGTGCAAGGACAAGAGCGTGCGCATCATCGACCCCCGCCGGGGCACCCTGGTGGCGGTACGCGGTCCCGGAGGGCGAGGGGGGCAGTGAGCGGGCCGAGGGGCTCTATTCCGGCGTCGCACTGACCACCACGCCCCCCACCAGGAGCGGGAGAAGGCTCAGGAAGGGGCCCGGCCCATGCGGGCCATCTTTCTGGCTGACGGCAAGGTGTTCACCACAGGCTTCAGCCGCATGAGCGAGCGGCAGCTGGCGCTCTGGGACCCGGTGAGTGGCCCTGGCTGGCCTGAAGCGGCTGGCTTAAGACTCGGCACCGTCCTCCCACCCCATCCCACCCCACCCCACCCCGGGTGAGGAGTGCGGGGGTCACCCTGGAGAGACCGGTGGTTCCCAGGTTCTCCCCAGCACGTGAGGCTCTCAGACCCGGAGCCCTGCCAGCCTCTCCTGTTCCTGCCCCGGCTCTCTGGCTCTCCGGCTCTCCGGCCTCCCCTGTGCCTCCAGCTGCCTCCGAGTCTCTGTCCACATTGTTCTCACCAACTGGAGGGTCTTTCCCTCCTTTGCTTGCCTGCCCCGACCCAGCTGCCCTTGGAGACCCAGTGCAGAGGCCCCTCCTCCAGGAGGCCTCCCAGCCCTTCCCCTGAAGTGCTCTGTCCACAGCTGTACTTCTGGATCCTGATCTCCAGGGGCCCCTGGGACAGGCTGACGCTTCCTGGCACCCCCAGCTCCCACGTGGTGGGGATTGTCAGCACTTGCTCAGCGTCCTGGGTGTAGTCTGACGGCCTGGCGTAGGCCAGGGAAGTGGGACCCCGGGAGCGGAGGGGAGCCAGGAGGGCTTGGTGGGGCACACTATGTAGGCGAAGACTTAGAAGTAGGAGAGAACCTACCGGCCTGGGATGTGAGGCTGGCTGGGGCCGTCCCGATGGAGTGTTGGGACATCGAGGGGAGAGGGGAGTGTGGCCTGGCCTGGCCTGACTGCACCCTACCCCACATGCCAGGCAAACCTCGAAGAACCCATGGCACTGCAGGAGCTGGATTCAAGCAACGGGGCCCTGCTGCCCTTCTATGACCCTGACACCAGTGTGGTCTACGTGTGCGGCAAGGTGAGGCTGGGCAGGCCTGGTGGACAGGGAAGAGGGATGCCCGAGCACTGAGACCTGGTCCCGCCCACCCCACAGGGCGACTCCAGCATCCGGTACTTTGAGATCACAGACGAGTCCCCCTACATCCATTTCCTGAACACGTTCACCAGCAAAGAGCCCCAGAGGGGCATGGGCAGCATGCCCAAGCGGGGCCTAGAGGTCAGCAAGTGTGAGATCGCCCGGTAAGAGGGGCCACCTAGGCAGCTGGCTTTGGGGGGGCGGGGGGGGCGGCAGGAGCAGGGTTGAGAGGTCAAATTACAGAAGACTGCTTAGGAGGCCCCAGGGTCAGGGGTCAGTCTTGGAGGGGCTAGGTGAGGACTGGAAGTGGGGAGTAGAGGGAGCCAGGAGAGTCGGTAGGGGTTCCATGGCTCCTCCCTCCCTCCCTTTTCCAGGTTCTATAAACTGCATGAGCGCAAGTGTGAGCCCATTGTCATGACTGTGCCAAGAAAGGTGAGGCCACCCAGTTCCCCTGTCCTACCCGACAGTGTGTGGGCACCCACTCCCTTCTCCAGCAGACAGGCCATGTGGGGTGAGGCCTGTGAATGAGACATGGCTGGGTGTGGGTGCAGTCAGTGGGCTGGACAAACACCAGGGTGTCGCCAGGTGTTGGGCTGTACTGGGCAGGGGACAAGCCGAGATAAGGGTGAGAGCCAAGGCCCTGCTCTGGATGAACCACAGGGGACAGCCAGGAGGGCTTCTCGTCGGAGGCCGGCTGGCAGTGTGGCTGGGGCAGGGCCCCCCAGTGGTGGGCAGTCGGCCAGGCACAGGGCGCAGAGCTGGGAATGGAGAGGGGCAGCGAGTCTGGCTGCAGCGGAGGCCCCATGAGGAGGGGTCAGGCCACATGGGGCTGGGTCTCAGACGCCCAGCCAAGAGCTTTGGACGGGTTTCCTCCTTCTCCAGCCAGCATTTGCTGAGTGACCACTCAGTGCCAGGCACGTCCCAGGGAGCCGAGCTGTGAACCAGACTGACAGGGCTGTCCCCGGCGCTCAGTCCCTGGGCACAGCCATGACGCCGGAATCTCGCCAGGCCCTGCCTCAGAAGGAGCAGTTGGCCGTGTCCAGGAGGGGAGTAAAGGGACAGGCTGAGCTTGGACAGGTGGTGACCCGGGGCCGGGCCACTGGGGAATGGGTTGACAGGGTGCAGGCCTGGAGGCCAGCAGAGTGATGAGGAGGTGGCCACCTAGAGTCCAGACAAAAGGACGCTGATGGTGGGCCCCCAGCTGATCCCAGCCTCCCTCACCCCCTGCCCAGTCGGACCTCTTCCAGGATGATCTGTACCCCGACACGGCAGGGCCCGAGGCGGCCCTGGAGGCGGAGGAGTGGGTGAGCGGGCGGGACGCAGACCCCATCCTCATCTCCCTGCGGGAGGCCTACGTGCCCAGCAAGCATCGGGACCTGAAGGTCAGCCGGCGCAACGTGTTATCTGACAGCCGGCCTGCCGTGGCCCCCGGCTCCACTCGCCCAGGGGCGTCCACACCTGCAGCCTCCACCAATACAGCCGCCCCCGGCAGCAGCCTCGCCGGAGCTGGGGTACGTGCTGGGTCTGGGTGGTGCTGGGAGGCCCCGGTGTGCTGTGTGTGCCTGAACCATTTGCTGTTTCTCTCTGAGCCTCAGGCCCCTCCCTGCCTGGAAGTT